GTTTTTGAAGGGTAAGATTTCCAGATACAAGGGGAAAAATTTATTTGGATGTCAGTGGTTCATTCAAAAGAAAAATAATTTTTGTCTTTAAACTACTTAACCGTTATTTTATTTATTAATTTGGCTGTAATTTAAAGTTTATACATCCTGGTTGAAATGCATCTTTTCATTGTTTTGTTTGAATTCAAACATTTCTTCTCAGAAGGAGCGGTGAGGCAGCGGAGCAGCTGCCCAGGGCGTGGGGAGTCACTGTCCCTGCAGGTGTTGAAGAAGAAGTTGGATGCTGCACTGAGTGGCGTGGTTGGGAGCAGGCACTGGCATAGGCTGGTGGTTGGGCGAGGTGACTTTAGTGGTCTTTCCAACCTGGATGGTTCTATGATTCCATGATAACCAAAATAAATTCTGATCTTTTTTTGGGGAAAAAAAAAAAGCTTCTTTTTTTGATTCAAGCTGTTGTGTTAATTATGATCCAATGCATAAATTGCTTCTCCCAGAGGATGCATCTTGTATTGCGTTTACTTAGAAACAAAATAAAAAAACCAAACAAACAGGGTACCTATCCTGAACAAGCTATGATAACCATAAAATGAAGGCTTTCATTAAAGGAATTTGTTATGAACGTTTTGGAGGAGTTCTGGAGTTGTGTGCACTTATGAATCCAGCTGCCTCCAAACATACGTGCCATCCAGCCTACAAGAAATAACATTCTTGCCAATTTTATTTAGATGAGTAGATTGCAGTCATTAGGAAAGACTGGGCCACGTATTCTGTTGTTTTAGAAAGCCACCACAGAGGATATTCCAGTATCTGCTGTACTGAGCAGAAAATGTGTTTTCTATAGGAAATGTTTTTCCTGACAGGGCTTAAACATACCTTTAAAACTTCAAAATATTTTAAGAATTCCATTACAGGAAGAGTTGACTTTATCATTTGAGCATATGTGCAGTTACATGTTGTGTTATAATTTCACATAAGCATATACATTTCAGCAGTATTTAGTGAAATTGTTGTAATTGCACACAAATTGCTAAGGAGATTGAAAGCATGGAAAATGAAGTCAACTACAGAAAAGCATCTAGAAAAGTCTGATGTCACTGTGCTTTAGTTCTGCTTTACCACATCCAAAGCAAACTGGCTGCCTATTGCTGTTCTATCAGCTGAAGTAGCACACTTCAGATAGCTCCAGCCTTTCAAACTACCATCTGCTAAGACATAATCGTAAGCCCACTGACAAGTGTTTGTCAGAAATCACTTCATGCTAATTGATCTCTTTTCCAGCACATTTCAGTAGCTAATTTTTAAGACCCAAGAGCCATCGTTACTCTGCTTTCATTGTCAAGATAGGGACACAGCTGTACTACAGGGAAAAAAGAACTTAAAGCACTTGAAATACAACAAAATCACAGGAGGACAATTTCTAAACAGCCATGTTCAAAATTTGAACTGAAATGAAGCATTGATCACAGCAACATAATGTCCCATCACCAACAGCTGTGTTCTTTTGCATCTTTAGTAAACTTATTTTGTTTTGTTTACAGTGAGTGAGGAGGTGCAGTGATCACACAAAACCAACACTGTCAGCAATTTTCATTCTTTTCAAGCTTGCCTTCTTCCTGATGTGATTATGCCCAATGATTTGTTGCATTCTGCATCTGCAGTAATTGTGATTTCATCCTTATCTTAATCACTGTTTCTTTCCTGTTTTTTGTAAGATGTGGTCAGCAGCTCTCTGGGTGCAGAAAAGTTGAGTGGTCACTGTCAGCAGTGATGCCTGTTCTTATGAATGCCAATGGAAAATGACAGTAATATGGCAAAATATAGCTTTCATAGTGTTGTGTGGTGCAAAATGGCTGATAAGTAATTATTGTAGTATTAGTCATAAGGATGAATCCTCTTGGCAATTTCCATTTTGCCCAAATTCATTATTCCCATCAACATTCAACTTCAGTTTTAACGCTTGTTGGAAAATCTGTCTGCCTGCTGTCCACGTCTGAAGAAAGAAAATGGTTTATTATGGGTTTTGTCCCTGTTGCATCTTTGCAGTCAGTTGAAGAACACCTTGCAGCGCTCAGTCTACCGAGTTCTTCAGGACAGCGCTGCAACATCTGCAAAAGGGACTGAGCTCTTTTCTGGCCTTCCTTCAGGGAGCAATGTGTCTGTCTGGAGAGATGGCCTGTCCGGTGCTGAGGGAGCATGGCTGATGGCACTTCCATTGTAGATGAGTCTTAGTTAAGTAATCTGTATGGGCTTGAATTTTGTGTTATTATGTAGCTTATTTCTGAAAGTCATTATCTAGAGTGAATTCCCTCATTCTGAAAATGAGGCACTTGGCAATGTCAGGCATGTTTGTGGTTAAAAGAAAGTCAACACACAGCAGATAAAGTAGTGTAAATCTTGAAACTCTTCCGGTGAATTGCAAGAAAAGAGGTGTCTATAAACACAAAAAATCCAAATCTGTAATGCTATTACTGTGGTTTTAAGAAATAAGGTGTTGGACCAGTTTTAAGTCCATGAAGTACATTTCTGAAGAAGCCAGAGTTGAGGAGGTTCTGAAAACCGCTTAAATTATAGTAGAAAAAGCACTTCAGAAGCATCCTCTGCTAATAAAGCAGTAATAGAAGCAAATGATTTCAAACTGATTTTTCTGATTTTCAAAGATATATTGGTTGCAGTGTTACGGCTCCATCTTTGATAGGTGTAGACATTTGGACGAAGAGAGCTCACATGTGAAGCTCCAAAGTAGTTCTTTAAAAGAACACATGAATTGGGTTTGAGTTTCTGAGGGGATGAAGCAATGAAGCTATAGAGGTTTGCAAAAGTTCAATTGCTTTTCTGGTTGTATTTGATTTATTTAGGCTTACAATGATAAAATACCTGTCAAAGAACATACTTTATAGCTAATAACCCAAATAATTAACAGCAGTCTGCAGTTACATGGCACAGTTCATCCCCAGATATAAAAGTTGTTTACAAATGAGTTAATCAAGCACATGCAGTAAAAAAAATATTGTCTAAGTTTTATGATGGAGAAATGGAAGCCTAACGAGATTAAATTATTGCCATGGTAACAAAAGGAATTTGTGTCAAGAACAGAAATGTATGCAGACTTTTTACTGCCTTATGTACCATTCTTTTTAGACTTTTTTGTGTCTTTTTATTATTTCTTTCCCATCACTGTGAATCTGTGCTGATTCTGAACCACTTATCCCACACATATCTGATAGACATTTTCAGACTGACAAGCCATATAAAAAGCTTTTTTTTCATTACATGTAATAATATAATTTGATCTTTTGATACTTGTATTTTAAGGTTGCTTCGTAATGAGAGGTAAAGAAAATATTGCTTTAAGAAACCTTAAAGTAGAAACAGTCTGTGCTTTCAAATGAAATCTGCATATATCCACAAATGAGAACTTCTGTCGAAGGGTTTCTCATCCAGCAGTGAGTTAAAATAGAGATGATGTTTCTTTGGATAGGAGCACTGGATAAAACACTGCTATTTTTCTTTCGGTTTTTAACTTCGGAAATGAATTTCCAGGTGGCATGAACAGACACTGCTCCAGTGAGGTCAGTGGCGCACAACGAAGTTCTGGTCCAAACTATCCAGGTGAGTTTGTATCCTACATCAATTTCTCTGGACAGATGCTTTTTCTTCATAACCTCACAGTTAAAATTAAGGGTCGCCCTGACCTGAGGAACTGCCTGCTCTTACCTGCAATAACTGGCAGCCATCAGGCTCACACTTTGGAGATCTGAAGCAACAGTTCAGCAGAATTTCCCCCAGCAATTTATTTCCCACTGCACAGCAGCCCTGCTCTGCAGGGGTGACAGTCTGACTTGCATATGCAGTCTTCAGCAGCCCTCAGCCGTGCAGCTTCTTTGAGCCAGGGCTGTGTGTTACAGCAGCCTTTGAGAAAGGCGTTTGGTTGATGTTTAAGCCACCTGCATAGGGACTGCTGTGATGTGGCTGCCTGTGAGGTGCATGCTATCTTGATCCCCAGCCTGGATGAATTGCACACGTGGGATTTGTTTCACCATGGTGTTCCTTCCATTAAAAATCAGTGAAATATCAAAAGAGAACAAATTAATACTTTTTAATGCTAACATTACATTTTACATAACAATACATTTTTAATGCTAAGCATGTTAATCATGTTTGAGATCTAAGGCAGCCCTCTCGTGTCTGTTTCTGTTTTAAAGCAATTGTGGCATTAAAAAACAAACAAACATATAAAAGACAACAAAAAAAAAACCAACAGCAATTTGAATAGCCATTGTTTGGAGGAAAAATGGTGGCACGTCCAGGAGCAGCTCTGCAGAACACCATTCTACATGCCTGGCTCCAGCACTGACAAAGCATGCTGTATGAACATAACCTGTTCTGTCCCAAACCTGTGACATTGATCTTTTCCTTCTGAACTGCTTCCCACAGAGCTCTGCACATTCTTGGCTGGAGCATCCTAACCTTTCTTGTCTATTGTTGCTGCCTGTCCTCAGCACCTGTAGTGATGTCCAGTCGCCTCATCTCTGCTAAATACCCACTCTGTAAAATACAAACATCTTCCAACTGCTTAGCTTAACCTTACTTACCTTCTTTGGAATTTAAACCTTACTGGACCTGTGGCAACTTTACTTTCAGATTATCTGAATAGCCACAGTAGAATCTGCTCCAAAAGGACACAATCTGCTTCTAGCAGACACAACAGTAAGCAGGAGCAAGGTTTCAGCACAGAATGAGCCGTGTTGCTGCTGAGCATGAGGCTGCTGGGCAGTCTCATTTGCCACTGTTTGAGGGTGAATTTGTTCATGCAGACAGGATAACAGAATTCTCTCTTTTATCAAAGAAGGTGCGTGTTCAAACTTGTACCAAATAGGGAATGGCACAACCTAAACTTGATGTACTTCCTGCCACGGATAATTTGGGATGTGTGTAAGTTACCCTCCAGGCTGTGTAATATTTTGCTGGTAGGTCTGCCAATGACATGTGAACTGGCTTACTGAGCACGTTCTGCCTGCCCTTTCCTCGCCAAGGAGCCATGTTTAATTGGCAGAAATTTGCGTTTGTGACTCCAGCTCTGCGCCCGGTTCCTCAGCCCAGGTTCCTCCCAGTGAGCCCAGACCGCCGGCCCGCCCCGCGGCGCAACGGCCCGCCCGCCGTCCGGCAGCCAATGGGGGCGGGCGCTGCCCGTGACGGCGGCGCGGCGAATTTGAAATTTGTGCGGGCTGAAGCGGAGCGGAGTGGGCGGCATGGCTGGAACGGGACTGGCGGGCGGGAGCGTCGCTGGGCTGCAGGGGGGAGCCGAGGAGGCGAAGCCAGGTGAGGTTCGAGCGCCCTGGGGCGCGGGGGCTGCGGCTGCCGCTGCGGCGCGTGCGTTCGCGCAACCGTTCGCGCGAGGCGTTGCTGCCGCGGCTGCGGAATTCGGGCTCTGAGGAATAAATTCGCGTGCGTGGTGCATGCATGGCCTGCCGGGATCTTTGGTAGCACTTCTGAAGGAGTACTTGAAGTTAAAATCGCCTTATAATTTTCAGCGTATGAATTTCAGCGTTTTTGTGGTGCATTGTGAGATTTGTTAGGGAAAGCAGGCGTGTGACGGACCTCGGGCCGAGCAGGGGTTGTTTGGGAATAGAAGAGCGAGCGATGATTGCGTGGACCTGACGGCCTGTGGGGTTTGCTTTGTTCCCACTGCTCCCCCAGGTCCCACCCAGCAGGATGAGGACACCTGCAGCGATTATGGAAGCCGTGACAAGCCGGGCACTGCCCTGGGGAGGACTGTACCGGATGGGAGCGCGCTTTTTCCTGATGTTTTTCGCACGGATCATCTTTTGTTTTATGAGCGATTTAAAGCTTACCAGGATTACATTTTGGGTAAGTGATTTTAGTAGGGAAAGAATATGTGGCAAGGTTTCTTAAGACTTCTGCTCTAAGTGGAGTCAGTTCCGCCTGAAACGCTCGCTCTCGATAGCGAGGACTGGAACACAGATGGGGGGTGTGTGCCGTCAGTGCTGGGCTGTCTGCTGACACCTCAGCTGACGGGCCCAGGAAGTAATGGCTTTAACATGAGTAAATGCGAAGGTCTGAAAGGAAAAGCGCTAATGCTGGGCCCTGTGCTTGGTTTTATTGGTGTTATTAGAACTTTTCTGCGTGTGGTGAGACTCCTTGAGATAAAGCACAGACTCAGCAGCACTGCTGCTGAAACCTTCTGTGCTTTTCATTTTTCACTGAGAACTTTTCATTATTTTCTTACATAAATGCACTGCCTTCCTTTTCATTTTAGCTGACTGCAAAGCTTCTGAGGTGAAGGAATTCACGGCTGAGTACCTGGAGAAGGTCCTTGAGCCGTCGGGATGGCAGGCTGTTTGGCGCACTAATGTGTTTGAGGTCCTCGTGGAGGTAAATGGAATGTGGTTGTTCGGGCATTGGTCTCCTACTAACGTCATTTATCTCTCTGACAGGTAGATCACTTTCTATGAGATTTGTGAACTGCTAGAAAATAGTATGGTTTTTGTATGTAATTGCCAGTGAGGACTAAAGCAATAGGAATTTGTTTCAAAAAAATCCTTATTCTTGAACACCATTTTTGTACACTGCTGTGCTATCTATACCTAAAAGCCTGAGGTTGGAACCTGTAATCTGAATACTTGTATCGGGGACTGTTACGGCAGTGAGGCACTGCTGCTCAGAATGAGCTCTTCAGGGCTGCAGCAAGTCACAAGTCCAGAAAATTATGCACTAGGTAGGCTTCCTATTTTTTTTTTTTTTTTTTCTTTATCCCATAGTTCAACCTTGGAATTTAGCTGTTACTTAAAGCTTACTTCTGCTTTTAAAATACAGCATTTTCAGTGGGACAGTTGGATTGTTTTCGAGACACAATTGTGGATAAACTGGTGTTGGTATCTTGAGAATAAGCTGCATCTAGTTCCGTAAAGTTGATGTGGTCAGCATGTCATCTGTGGTTTTGAGTAGAGCATGATTGCTGTTTGCAAGATAAATTTATCGGTGCTAAACCAAAATATTTGTACAGTGTTCGTTTGCTGTGTGCTAGAGCACTGCATAATCACTTACCTTTTCTTGAGCTTCTCAAGAACTGGGCAAATAATTTTGAACCTCAGAGTGGCAATATAAAGCCTGAATGATGTCCCTGTGTGTAGCAAAAATACACCATATGGGTTAGTTTCATAGATCCTCTCTAGTGTCTGAAAATTTCTTGGGAGGACTGTGCTTAAAAGGAAGCAACGTTCTCAAAGGGATCCTTGAAACAAGGAGGAGGAGTCCAAGTTGGTATGGGTGCACTGTGAGTTTAAGCCTGGTGGGCACACGAGGGAGAAGTGCTTTGTCCAGAGCTGGCTGCTGGGGTAGTTTTCTCAGTCACCAGGCTGTGGTCACTTCTAAGTTCTTCCTATCATTAACATTCTTCTGTCTAATCTACTTTGATACTAACAATAGCTCTTGTAGACCTGCTGGAGGATTGCAGGTTTGGGATCCTCCTTTTTTAGGTCTACCAGTATCTGAGTCTTTCATATTTGTGCAAACCTGGGATGTTTGATCAAGCTTGAACTTGTATTACATGTTTTCAAAGGGGAGGAACTTCATCTTTTGATGTTTTCAGCAAAATTAGCGATAAAATAGTTTGCTGATGAACTCATGGGATGGTTTATATCTTGTGGATGCTTTGAAGAATGAACCATAGAAGAGTCTAGGAAAACTGTGAGGCATGGATTTGTTTGAATCTGAAGATCCTATTTTTTGTGTTCTAAAACCAATTTGAGAAGCCATTTACTGGCCTTGGATAGGTGTTATGAGTTTTGTTTTTGTTTTTGTTTTTTTTTTTGAACCTAGTTTTGAATGTCAAAGAGATTACTCCAGATCTTTTGGTTTTTAGGAGTTTTTTTCTGGGATTATCGTTTCGTCTGACCAGATTGCCTTTGCTGTAATACGTACTGTGTGTTGATCTGTGTGGGTCAGCTGGCACTTAGTGAGGTCTGCTGGGTTGTGCACATCGTGTGCACCTTCCTCAGCTGTTTCTGTGGTTCTGCGTAGAGAAATTCTAAGAGCTGTTCATTCCAACAGGTGGTTGATGTGGAGTACTCAGATCTGAAGGCAGTTGTGCAGCTCTGTGAGCCTTTCCTGTGCGAGTCACAGGTTAGCACCTTTACGTTGGAATGCATGCAGGAACTCTTGGAGCTGAAGGAGCGTCGGATACCGCTGCAGGAGCTGTGGGTTGTGTATGATGAGTCGGGAGAGTTTGATCAGACAGCACTAGCTGTGGAGCATGTCAGGTAGGAAACTGCTTTAAGGCTGATTCTTGTCTTGAGCAATTGCACTCTGGTTGTGTGCTGTCCTGAGTTCTTGTGGCTAGACTGGCATCCCCACGTGTCTAGCTTTCCACATTCAATATTATGACTGGTACCATGAAAGCTATGGGGAGTCTGATTACAGAGGAAATGTGTTTGCCTTTGGTAGCTGAAGGCAGTCACACAAAAATGGGGTGTATTTATCTGAGAAGAGACTCATTCTGCTGGCCATTGCTCAGTAGCGGAGACCTGAGCGTGTATCACAGAGGTGGCAAACTTCTTGTGGAGAGGAAAAGCTTAGTGGAAAGAAGCCTGGCCAAAACTGAATAATCAGAGAGCCACAGAATCTTGTGCAAGTTTTCTTTTTAAATCCAGATTATACTCGCTCAGTCTCCTGATGGAAGTCAGAAGGACTCAGGCTGTCATGGATTTTAATCCAAGAAATACAAATTAAAACTCTTCATATAGAAAACCAACTGTTGTGTCTACTAAATGATTACTTACAGGAGGGTGATGTGGAATTGGAGAAAGAATGTTTTCATTTGCATTCTGTAACCTATTACGTCTGTATTTTTAGTGCCACTGTCTCTGCTTGTTTAAATGTGGCCTCTTTTGTGTTTAAAAGCTTACTTTGCTTCAAAAGGTTCTTCTACGAGTGCATCTGGAGGACCTGGGATGAGGAGGAGGAGGATGATTTTGATTACTTTGTGCGATGTGTGGAGCCTCGACTGAGACTGTAAGTGTAACACTTGTGTTAATGGGTGGGACCACAGGAAAGGGTGCTGTGGGAATAGTGGCATGCATAAATCTCCAAGGCATGTTTTCACTAGTGAATTAAAGCAAGCCTGTTCTAGTAGCAGCCACTGTCTGTTGCTCTATTTTGTTACAGAAGAGGGTACAACTGAAGTTGCTGCTTTATTTCTGAACCCTTGTGTTTTCCTGTAATCCCTAACCTCCCATCAGATGGCGCTCCGAATCCAGCTATTGCCTCCTTGGACCTGCAGGAGTGACTAATGTAACGCTATCTAAAGCAGGCATGAAATGCTGTCATACCTTTAGGCATAGAATAAGAACCAGAATGGAACAGAATGTAAACAGAAACTCATAAATCATTTATACTGAAGAAGGATTATGTGCATTTCTGTTATCTGTGGGGTTAGTTGGCATTAGGTTTTCTGAAGGTGAGTTTTACTTTTTTAATGCCATCTGGTTATATGGGAATTGAGCAGTGCATGAGGACACAATCTGGTTACGTGCTGGAGGGGGTTAAATAACTCAAGCACACTTCTGTTTTCAACATAGCATAACTGAGCATGAGTTTGTCATTCAGGTGCAAGTCTGCTATGATGCTTTGGAACTAAATCAGCTATTACTTACAGCTAACCCTGAAATGCTCTTCAGAATGTAGTGTGTGCTAGAATACAGTGTATAGCACAAGCTTTACAAAGGAAATTAGTATCATTGCCTGTACTCTGAAGGTGGCTGTGGGTCTCTGTTTCTAACAGGACACAGTAAGTTTTGAGGATTCTGATATGCTTGGATTTCTAAGAGATCATACAAATTAGAGGGAGGTGTTCTATGTGGAAACTAGAAATTATAAATGTTTGTGAAGTGTTTATACGTGTGAGCTTGCAGTGCATGGCTATTCTGTTGTTGAGGTTTTGGATCTTTATGAAGTCTTTGCATGGAATTAACCAGAATGCAATGGTATGCCAGGAGAGATTGTTTTCATCTGTGAATGACCTTAGAGTTGGTTTATTTGGGATCCAAAATGTTTTTTAAAAAAAAAAAATTAAACAAAAAAAAAAAAAAAAAAAAAAAAACCCAAAAACTTCAAGTAGATGTTATCTTTTTTCCCATACTGCTTAATGCGAAGTCTCTCCTCCAAACTGTGTTGATGTGAGTGCCATCCTGTGTTGTGATTGAAGTCCTCATGTGTTGACTCTAAAGCTGCATGGAAACACGTGATGCTTTAAACTTTACAGATCTCTGGTGTGCACTCTTTCAATCAGAACTGATAAATTCATATGTGCTGTTAGGATGTAATACTGTTTTTTTTTGAGGCAAGTAATATGAATTGTTTAATTGAAGCTTGGGGGAAAAAAAAAAATCAAGATCAAGTTTTATGCATTTTCATAGTGACCAGCCCTAAAATGAAGTATGCATTTCAGGACCAACCTACATTTAACTCTTAGTTTCCATCTAATATTTTATTTCTACATTGCTATAAATCCTTTTTTACATTTAATCGTGCTGCATTAGCTTTCTGCTGCCTCTGATTGCATTGCCAAAATCTTGTGAGTCTTTTTTCTTTATATCCTTTTTATTGTAATTGCATACTTATTTACTTCTCTGATTATAGTTCTTTTTCTTGCTCTTTTCTGAATTAAATGCACCACTTAAAAATAATCTTTTGAACTTTGAAGATTTGCCCTTATTTCATTCAGTCTCTTCAGCAGAGTTATTTATGCTGTGTTAAGTTGGTTTTCTACAAAACTGAAAATGTTAAGTCTTGTTTTGTTTCATGTTATTAATTATTGTCCAGCATTTCTTTTTCTTTTTTAGTGACTGTCATAAGTTCTAAATGACTGCCTAGCACTGTCTACTTGGCAGATATCTTAATCTTAATGCAACTTCAAGCTGGCATTTTCTACCCTGTAATTTCATTTGTAGAAGATACTTCTGGGGTGACACAAAATTTCCTGTGCAGTGCTTTCACATCTTCATCTCGTGCAGATACTGCCTTATTTGTTTCTGGGATTTTGTCCAGGTTATTGTTTAGGTTGCTGCTGATACAGACTTCACATTATGGGCTTATTCTTGTAGTTTAGACATAGCTTTCTCAGGCTTTCCAATAAATGCTTGAGAAGTAGGCTAATTTTGATTTCTAATGGATCTAGGAGTTGTTGTGTTTTTTTTTTTGTTTTGTTTTTTTGTAACTGTACCATTTCTTTTAGAATATGTTTCATATAATTGTTACCTATCTGCCATGAGAGATCATTTAGAGAAGTAAGTAAAATATTTGTATGTTCTGAGGGTTTTGGTTTGATGCAGACTGCAAAGAATTTTAACTTCAGTAGTAATACAGGGCATCTCAGATTCTCTCTGGGTTTGTATTTGATCTTTCAAAATTGGAAATGAAAGTATGCTGATCTCTGGCTCTGAATTGCAGGCATTATGACATCCTTGAGCACCGTGTGCCTTCTGGTCTTGTTGCTGATTACCACAACTACTTGTCTCAATGTGAAGAGCTCTACAGGAAGTTTTTAAATGTGAGGAACAACATATCAAGCAGTGATTCAGACTCTGAAATGGAAAATGTCTCCATGGTGGAGGGATTAAAGTTGTATGAGAAAATAGAGCACTTGAAACAAAAACTAAAACTAATTGAGAATCCTCTGCTGAGGTACTTAGCGGGTTTAATGGAAGGGGAGCCCTGATGGGGAAAGCATGTGTAGAGTGTTCTTCACTGAAGGCTTTGTTCCTTGTTCTAGGTATGTATTTGGTTACCAAAAATACAGTGGTCTCCAAGCTAAAGGTCAGAGACCAACAGGTATCAAGATCACTCATGTTGTGTCCGCAACGGTGATGGCGAGTCTCTTGCAGTCTTTGATAAGGGACAGACTTTGCCCTGAGTCTTGTGGTGAAGAACTAGAAATACAGGTAAAGTAACAGCAATTGCCTGCTCACCCATGATTTTGTCTACTCAAGCAACAATACAAAAGAATCGTGTACATGAAAGACGATACACTTGTACAGTACCATTTTTGAGTCTGAAAACAGCACTGTAATTTAATGAGACAAAGTTGCAAGTAATTTCTCTTAATTTGTTTGCTGAGTAATCTGTGTGAGCAGTTTCCTTCCCATGTGTAAGAAATAAACCTGTAATAAATGTGCAAAGGAGTAATACTCTAATATTAGATAGCTCTGTATTTTGAGTTGCTGATAACAATTTAAGGTTTCAAGAAGGAAATGCCATTCTATTGCTATGGTTCTGCATAGGAAACTTGCTTAGGAAACTTATTTAGAGCAATTAGTTTTAGTGACTTCAGCTAGGATTTTCAGCACTTCAGCTTAGTCTGTCATACAGAATAGTCTGTAGTCCTTGGGCCCAAATGAAATTGCTTGCTGTATTCTAATCATGTTCATGAATTGCAGGTGGGCAAAGCAGACCCGAACAGAGCATTCCCTATTAACTCTGGGGATATAAATCAGATTTTCTCAGTTGGCAGTTGAGTAATTTTTACAGGGCTTGCCCTAGAATTTGCCAGGACGCAATAAACTCGAAGTTTTTTGTACTATTTGTTTCCTCTTATGCAGAATTGCTCAGAGGATATCAGCCTGCACTTTTCAGGTACTGAGGTCTTTTTTTAGGGAAAAGAACAATGTGGACCTATTATTTGCCACTGTGATGTCTCAACTCTGTTCTGGAGTGACTTGCTTAGAAATAGGGTTCTGCATGTTTGGACCGACTCAAATCTTATTGCTGAGTTCTTTGTTTTTATTGGCTTTTCTTTCCCGTCTGCTATGTGCTGCTTCATGTAATTCATGGCAAGTCTCTTGAAACAGAATTCACGTGTTGGCCTGAAACCCAGGCCATACTGAAACCTGCTTTCCAGTGCATATGCTCTTCAGTCTGCCACTGCCCCAGATTTCTCATGGAATGGACGTAACACAAAGGAATGCTTTAAGGCTGTTTTTGTCTAGAGTGCTATGATTGTGGAATTCCAAGTAGAAACGGCCTGTTAGTGGTGCCATTATAAAGGATTTCTTTCAGGCAAAGGCAGCAATGTTTAATTAAAGAACAAATTTAAGGGCATAAATATGTCTATTTTATAGCGTTTTTTCAGGAGTTGATTATGTTGTTTGTCTCTTACAGTTCCACAATGATCCGCTGGCAGCTGTAAATGCTTGTTATGAAGGAGACACAGTCATCATCTGTCCTGGTCATTACGTTGTGGATGGCGTGTTCTGCATTGCTGATTCTATTGAAGTGGAAGGTAGAAAGCTTGCTAAGGAGAGAGTCCAGGGTCCTAAACTAGCTATGCACAAAGATTCTTTTTTTTTAAAATTTGGAGAAGCTTGACTTGGGTATTTGCTTTTTACTTTGGAGTGTTCCTGTTTCTGCTTGTAGACTGTCTGTGGTGTATGGTGTTCTATTAACAACAGTTATTCCTGCAAATAAGCTTAAAGTTTTGCTGATGAATAGTGAATTTGCTGTTTTCTTCTGTTTGACTGAATTATATAGGTACTACATCTAGTACTGTTACCTATGGAACTAGATGTTGTACCTATAGCTGTATCCAGCAGAAACACAATTGTATATTTTTACATCTGACAAGCACAGATCATTCTGAGAAGCTTCATTTTGAGTACTTAGTGGAGGTTCTTGTTCTCCTTTGCATTCTTACAGACCTAATGTACTTCATAGAGGTGGTCTGAGACTCACTGCCAGATAGCACTCATGAATACAGAGGGGAAAAAGCCAAGTTCTGTCAACTCAGTTTATGGTATTTGTTGTGCCAGCTGTGCATATGGGCTGCTGATGTAAATCTGTGCATTATGTGATGTACCTGGATAGAAAGAGCTATTGATTTAGTCTCTGTTCTGTAGAAGTGGACACACCATATGTGATTCTATTTTTCTCTCCAAGTATTTGTTTCAAATACTCCTGCATTGTCTAGGTTATGTTACTGTCTTTTCCTCATAATTCTTAGTTTCCCAGTGTAATTTCTCTGCTTCAGGCTTGCATGCTGCTGTAACATAATAGTCTGTGTATTGCTGGGGCTTGTGCAGCTGTTCATGTTCTTCTTCGGCTGTAGTTTTATCTTGTCAAAACTTCATTATGGGAAAGGCTGGGAATTTAATTTCCTGCTGCTTGGAACTATATTTTCCTTGCCCTTCTCTTATGAATATCACTTTCTCTTTTGCTCTTCTCTTGTATGATTTATATAGAGTTGTGTGCTGGTGGACAGTGCTGGTTAAAGGACTTCAAACTGCTTGATTTGCTTGCAAAAATTGATTTGTTCTAAAATTGTGTGGACTGGAGTTTATGACAACTTCTCTCATACTTTTGAGGAAACAGTAATGCAAATGGTGAAATAGCACTCCCATTAAAGAATGAGGTATGCTATATTAAGAAGCAAGGCATGTAAATGTGTCTTTAGTACAAACTGCACTCTGAATAATGAATATGTCAGGGTACTTAATCTTCTTATATGGACTTCTGTTAAAGAAGTTTTTATAGCAGTAATAGCAGCTGAAAACATTTGAAGTAGGAGCATCAAGAAAGAAGTTGCTGGCACTAATCTGAGTGGCTGGATAGAGCTGCAATGAAGTTGTGACTCATCAAAGATATGATATTGCTTTGCTTAGTAGTGGTGGTATTTTTTTCCATGCATGTGCAAACCAGTGCTGTGGTTGAAAGTATGAGGAAAAGAAATACTTCAGAGGACTGGGGAAGGTTAAAGCTGTAACACAGGAAATTATAGTAAGGACAACTTAATCACTTGGTGAAGGTATGCAGCAACGGTACCAAATAACTTTGCAGCTTGTACAATAGTTGAAGTTGGAAGAGAAGCTGAACATCGATCCTAATACCTGTGATCAGAGTTATGGGATGACAGTTGCTGTTAGCTCCTGTAAAGTTGCTTAACAGGGTGTACAACCTTGAGCTAGCTATGTATTGAACAGTGCTTGATGGCAGGTGAATCAATTTCTCTCTATTCCTTGTCTTTCAAACAGCTTCTTTACTGCTAGAGCTGCTGCTTTGTAGGTGAGGCAGGCGAAAAGCTTGGTTAGAAGATCTTTGGGTAGTTTGGACAATTTTTCTTAAAACTCGTACCATGAATGATAAACAGCCTCATTCTTTGGGGTGTATAGCTAAACAGGATCTGCCTCTTGAAGTCCCAGGGTGCACTTTCTTTCCATACTGAAGTAAACTGCCCCTTGCTACCTCCTCTCCAGGAACCCTAGAAAAAGATTACTAGCTATTGTAGTGTGCTGAAGTATCACTAAACTGCCTTCAGTTGCTGTCTCTAAAACTTTCTCTCAGCTCTTGTTCAAAAGCTTTTTTTCAACCTTTCTACTTGCACATTATTTATTTATGTACTTGGTTAAAAGCTAGCATCCTGTATGGGCACTTCTTATCTAAGCTTTTTTGCGTGTTCAGAAAATGATAGGACTCATACTGCTTTAATAGATGTTGCATTATTGCTTTCCTTATCGTGATTCTTGCCAGTGACAAGCAATAGAAGCTTTACATGCTCATAAATTTCCCTTTGAGTGTTTGAATGCTGACAAGTGTGGATGGCTTTAGTAAATCAGTGGTGGCATATGCTTTTGAAAGTTCCTTTTTAATCTGGAAGTCCATATAACACATAACACAGGAACGTGTTTTGACCCAGGTTTCATGCAAACAGTAAAGCTGAGTGAAACTTAGGACTATAGCATGAATTTCTTTTGTTTCCTTGCACTGTGGTAGTGACTGCTTCCTCAGAGCCCCAGCTTGCTCTGCTGTGCTCATCTGTTTTGAAAGCCAACTGCGGGTTCTCATGTGGCCTTTGTTACTGTACCTCCCTCCAGAGTATTGCAGCCTTGGGGAGTGAGGACTTGGATCTCAGTGAATGTGACCTCTGTTACACATCTGTTCAACTGGCAAAAATAATTTGGCATTTGATGTCATTCAAAGAGGGTGATTTGGAATTCTGGGTGATTTCATTCATTGGACTGTAGTGCAGAAGGGTGTAAATTGAGGCTTGGCCAATGGGTAGAATGCTATTTGAGATTATCTAACCTCAAGTTCTAAATCCTCTTATTTGATGTGAATATCTGCCTGTGATTGTTACCAGTTGCTCATCAAACTTTCACCCCTGCTTTAAGGCTATGGCCTGCCAGATGACATTGTGATAGAAAAGCAAGGGAAAGGAGACAACTTCGTGGACTGTACAGGAGCCAATATAAAGATCTCCAATTTGAAGTTGGTGCAACATGATGCTGTGGAAGGGATTTTAAGTAAGTATAAAAGCACTTTAATGTTCTTATGAGTCTTCTGCGACTTTCTTTTCATTTTTTTAAACGAATCTAGTACACAGAGCTTACTGGTTTTAACTTTCAAGCTGTTGTAGCACTTAGGCTTAACTTTTGGGTAAGATAACCTTGGATGAGATAACTTGATCTCTCTTCTCTTGGGTTTTGCAGCAGTAAGTCAAGTTTCAGTGTGCCAGGCTACGTGGAAAAGGAAATAATTTCTCATGCTACAAAGAACTCCCAACACTTGACAGCTCTTTGCTGAGGGTTGATATGGACTTCAGAAGTAGCACAGATGTTTGTTTTCTGACTTAACTTAAACTGAAACTCAGATAATCCCAAACTGTATCCATTGAGTTTGGCCATGGCTGTTTCTCTTTGTAGAAGGTACTAATTAATACTTAGCCTTGGCAAGCATTTGTTTTAAAACATGTTTTCTTAACACCTGTATATATGTATCTAATAACTTATTAATACAAAAGACTTTTAAGAAGGTTAAAAAAAAAAAACAAAAAACAAAAAAAAAAACAAAAACCCCAAACAAAACTGCTGGAACTAGAAAAACAAACAGTGGCTAACCAAACAAAAAACAACTTCAAGGCAAATCTTTTGATTAGTGCTCATTTGTAGTGTACCTGCTTATCCGGACAAAATACCATGAGCTCAAACTATGCCTGAGCAAATCAGTAAAACTTGCATAAGATGTTATTTAAATGGTCATTTTGACATACTGTAAAAAATATTGTGAATCTATCTATCCATAGGTTTGCTTTTGCAGATATGATTCATTTAACAGTGTTTGTTGTGTGTGTATGTAGATGTTCATCAAGGGAAAACAACTTTAGAGAATTGTGTATTACAGTGTGAAACTACAGGCATAACTGTACGAACTTCAGCTGAACTGTTAATGAAGAACTCAGATCTGTATGGTGCCAAGGTAGGAAATAGCCAGTTAAAAATTTGTTTATAGATTTAAATAGAGTTGTACTAGGCAGTGATACTCTCAGTGAAGGGGTGGTTTCTTTCCCTCTTGTGAGAATCTTTACAGGTTATCTTGAACATCTGTGTGTTACATTAAGAGATTGTTCCCAGGGATCTTATGGTCTTCAGTAGTACCCAATGAAGTATCTCACGCAGGGGCTATCTATGAAACAGTGATTACTGCATTGTTGAACTGATTCATGTCCTGCTGTATCTTTAAGGTGATTTTCTGTGTTGTTTTTTTTTTCCCCCTGCCTATAAGTAACTCATTAATCCTAGTTTGGCAAATTAAGTGACCTTCTGGATGCCTTATTCTTCTGACAAATATGATATGATATCCTTCTGACAGAATTGAACTCCGATTAGCACACTTGGGAGGATGATAGGGCTTTGAATGTTGAGGTGGATGTCTAAAGAGCCAGAAAGCGATAAAAGGATGCATAGTCATTCTTTGCTAGTAATTTTATAGACAAGCAACAGTAGCATTACTTGTGGGACTTCCATGTTTGATATTGCTGTTCAAGTTAACAGAGCTGTGAAGCTTCACAGCTGGAGTGGTGCAGTTAAATGAATGAGCACCAAGATCAACCATGGAGATGTCATGCCAAATTGTCAGCATTCCTGAACTGTTTGTGAACTGCAGTGGGTTTTGTCTCGTAGGGTGCTGGTGTGGAAATATACCCAGGTAGTACGTGCACCTTGTTGGACAACGGCATACACCACTGCAAGGAGGGAATACTCATAAAGGTCAGTTGAAGGCAGAATGCACTTTTTTCTTCAACTTAATAGCACACAAACTTATAGCTGTCAGAATTGGTGCAGATAACTTGTGTTTAGCTTGACTTATAACCATGCTTTCTTATAGTGGAACTCTTGTGTATTACAACTTATGATGGTGGTACTTGTTTGCCTTGGGTTGGTACAATGAAGCAATGTTTTGTTTCTTGTTTGCCAGAAAGAGATCTTTTGCAATATTGCTTGCATACACTGAAAACATTCTAGCCAATGCAGAGAGCTAATTCTGTCTAAAAGTGAAATGATTTGCATCCCATTGGGTGGACATAACAAGTTGGATTTCTATTTCCTTTCTATAGAATTTCTTAGATGAACATTATGACATTCCCAAAATAAGCATGGCCAATAATGTGATCCATAATAATGAAGGATATGGTGTGGTCCTGGTAAAACCAACTGTTTCTTCTGATGTAAAGGATGCTTCAGCAGAAGGAACAACAGGTATTTTTCTCTGACTTCATAGAAGTAAATAAATTAAAAAAAAGAAACAGAAACGCTTAAGCCTAGTATACACAAGTTTTTTTTAATTCCATAACTAGGAAGTGAGTCTTTCAAAAACTTCTCACAATGTCTGTTTTGATTTAGTTGGAATATATCTCTGTAACTATCAGAACAATGGAATTTCCTGAATTAGACTTCCTGCAGGTAAATACTGTGTATATCTGTGCTCTGTGCTATGTGTACACTTAGAGATATATATATATATATATATATATATTTTTTTTTGAAGTCCTTAAGCATCTAATCTATACTTCCCACTAAGCAAAGCCTGTATAACTACCTCAATCTTACAGAAACAAGAGTGTTGATCAGCAAGAAAGCAGATGTGACTTCTTTTATGGCTCTTCTGGTTCATAGTTCTCTGCTCCATCTTTCCTTTCAGCACTAGAGCTGAGACGTGCTGGTTAGCACAGTCTTGCAGCACAGAAGTTGTTTTCTGCAGTAAATAAAATGTGACAATTGTATTTCTCTTCATATGTCTTATTTGAGAACTGCCAGTCACAAGTATGGTATGCAAACACAGTCTATTATCACTGTTACTTGGTAGCTTGAAGTCCTTTTGAGAGGAAACCTTTTCATATGCTGTATTTGAAATGTATGGTTGTCACTAAACAACTACCCAAATGTGTGGGGTATGCAAATGTTACAATTGAAGAAGACTTCATTCTGGTAGTTTTAACTGATTTGGCTATTTTGCATGCTTGGCAATGATGTTCTCCTTGTTCCCTGATCTAGGGGATGCACAGTCTACCCAGTCAAGTGATGAAAAAGCACATGTAGAGGGCTTCAGACAAGAACAACTACCTGAGTGTGTAGCTGATGAATTGGAGTTTTATAAGCAAGCTGAGATTTCTGAAGGCAATCATGAAATTGTAAGTGAACTTGGTGCTGCTTCTGCAAAGAAGAGTCAGATGCACAGGAAAAGGCTGAGTGAACTGGGAATCACAGAAGCTGATGACAACTTAATGTCACAGGAGATGTTTGTTTCTATTGTGGGCAATCAGTTCAAATGGAATGGCAAAGGAAGTTTTGGTACTTTTCTCTTCTGACAATCCTGATTCCTAGTGGCATTGTAATAAGATTTGCACAAGCTGTTTTTTTCACTGCTACTTTCTGAGGAGGTAACTTCCACCATCTTTCCACGTTAGTAAAATATTTATTAATTATATATATATATATATACACACACACATATATATAGCATGTGAAAACTACTTTCTTTGTGCAAGCATGGGCAATGCTGGTAGAAAAGAGAACTCTGCTTATCTATGGACTTGCTCTTTGCTAGCTGTCATTTTTTGTTGTTTTTTTTCTTCTTTTTGGTATATTTATTTAACTCCTTTGGTTCTTTTTTAACATATAAATAAATCTTTCTACAAACAAAAAGTTTATCATGGAAGAATGGAAAACAGCTGCTCAGCAATTGGTGGTACATCTTCCTCCATAGTTTTTTTTAAAGTGCTGTTAGCCTCTGCATCCCTCCTATAAGAGAATGATAGACTTAGTTTTGTGTGCCAAACAGAAGCTGGTGAACTGTTGCATGAAATGTAGTAGTTGGCTGCCATGCTTTGCTTTAAGAATTTTTTAGAGAAATTGGCATCTGGAAGGATAGCATCGTTCACTCTTCTTTGGAAATAAGCTGGCACACAGCAGCAGCTGCCACTGCCTGTGTACCTCTGACATAAGGAGAGATGGTGTCTAACTAAAACTCTGAATAAGAAATAAAAACAGATGTTTCTATGGTTAGTGTTATTCTACTATATCTTTCAGCACATTATTCTAAAATGTTTGAAACTCCTATGCCGCGTATAGCAGCAGATCTCTTGGAAATAAAAGGAAAACTAAAAAGGAAAAAAACCAAGAGCTTTGCATGAGATCTCATCAGCACACAGCTATGGAGCATTTGGTTTAAGAAAAAAAAAAAAAAAAGGCATTTCAGTGACTCACCATTCATTACAAATTAACTGGAGATGAAATTTGGCTGAACTGCTTGCCCCAGGACTCTGCCTTTTCAGTGTCTCATTCCTTATAAATATAAATCCAAATACCTTATTTAAGCTTATATTGCCTTCGGGAGTTATATTTCCATACATCAGTTCAAAACCAGTTCTACATGTTTAAAAAAAAATAAAAAATCCCAAGTGATTCAAGGTGGTGCTGTAAAACACAGGATGGTGTTGAGAAGAAGGAAGGTGCCAGCAAGAGAATTTCGGAATAACTTCTGCAAGTAACTTAGCAGGTATATACCTTCCCTTGCACTGTAGAGTGTTGCTTAAGGTGGAGATGAGTTGTCTACTCCAGGTTTTTCACTCCACCCACTTCTGAAACTTCAGTGGGAATCAAAATTCTCTGGAGTCTATGACTTGTTTGAGTGTGAACAATAGGTAGAAAGGAAAAGAGAAAAGTGTAACTTAAAAGCATTTTTTTTTTTTAAACATGACCTGCAGCATTAATTGCAGCTTTCCTATCCCCCTGCTGTTTTTGTTCTGCTCAGTGCACTTGACTTCAGGACTGTGCTTTTGAGTTTTAATGAGCCTGAATGCCATTACAACATCTTAACATGCACAAGACAATAAATGTTTGCAGTTTAGTGGCTGTAACAAAATACTTAACTCAAGTGAAATCCCACTACTTGTACTGACAGTGGTGATCTTATGGGATTTATCATGTCGTGTGCGATGTTCAGTGCTTTGATATTATACTTTTAATTCCTGAGTGCAATCCTAATTAACAGTCTAGAGCTAAAAACTGATTTTGTGGTTTTGTAGCGAGCTGCCTTTGTGATATGTAGGTAGCATTTCTTTCTCTTGTAATTAATTTTAAAGCTGGCTTCTGTTGACAACTTCTGAGTTCCCTTTTTATGTTCAGCTTAAAGTTTATGAAGGCAGAAATTAAAATATTCTTTTCCAATATCACCATTTTTTTTGGTCTGTTCCTGTGCCATGTGCCAGTGGTATGCTGCTGTATGGGTTGTCAGCAGGTGAGGAAGCAACATATGAAAAATAAGATTTTATGCAGGAATTCTGTTGTAAAATTGTGGCTTAATTCTTGATGACATTAGAGCTTTGAAGGACCAAACTTCCAATTGAGCCATGCCCTTTTTGTGGAGTTAGGCCTTACCACTGTTTTCTACTTCAGCGCGTGCATCTTCAGTCCAGGCTGTTGTTTCCGCAAGCTGTAATCCTAACCAGTAATTTCATCTGTCTTTAGCACATTATGTGCTTATTTTCTCAAGTATGTTCTTTCTTTATTCACTTCTTTTGTGCTTCTTTCAAGGCTGTGCTGTCACTTTCTTGCCAACTTTCAGTTGTAGATAAAATAGTGAATTGAATACGTCACAGAAGCAGTTAGTGCATCGATCTGTCTGCAGTAAGGGGTATGGCCATAGGCTGCCACACATTCAGATGGTACTGGGGAACAGGGAGGATGATTTCACAGATTCGTGCTTCTCTTTTAGTGTTTTGTTTTTTTTTTTTTCCTCTCAGAAAGGAAAAGAAAGCGACAAAACCTCTTTTGGAAAGTGATGTTTAATTCTGTTTCACAAATATTTTTGCTCTGCCTGTCCTCTGAGCTGCCTGACTAACTCAGACAGTATTTTTCATGTTTCACAATAAGAAAATAAAATCAGTTCAGTATGTCCTGTGATATTTCCCGTCCGGTTTTCCTCTGGCCCTGTTTAGCACTGCTGTGCCTTCCTGCATCGCAAGGTCCTTGGGCAACAGCCAGTTCTGCACTGTGCTTTCCCCTCTTTCAAATACAGGGTTTTCTTGTAAAGCACTCCTGCAGGCTGGAATTGATGCTGTCTCTCTAAAGTTCCCTCTGAAGCACTATTCTGTTCTTCTCTAAGGCATTATACAGCACAAAAGGCAAAAAGAATTTTATTTTTCTTACGTGAGTTGAAATCAACTAACGCTGCTCTGCTGTACAACCAGAAGATATCTGCAGGCCTCAGAGTGCTCCTGAGTGAAACGACAGCTTGTGCAATGTGGGCTACGAAACAAAACTGAATTTATGGTATCCGCTTGTAATAAGCTGAATGGTTTTTAAGCATGCCCATGTGAAAGTGTTGAAAGAAATTTAATCTTGAAGTTACTTGTGACCCTTGGCTTTTTTTCCTTCACCAAGTTTTTAGTTTTCTAAGAGCAATATAAATGCATCAAGTTAGAGTTGTATATTAACTGTATATAAAATAAAAAAAAAAAAAACAGGGCAAGAATCTAAGCTGTCATTCACCACCAGGAACAGAAGAGTGTGTGTGCATGTGTTTAGAAGTAACCAGTAAGTTCTGAAAGAGAGAGAGTCTGTGTGATACATCTTCTATTTTCCCCCAGGCAAGGAGCTGTAGGAATGCATCCAAAGGTGATTGCTGCTCTGCTGAGTTACTATGTGAGCTAACTGAACACTGCAGATTCTTTTAAATTTAAGAGAAAGCTGTTACTTTAGGGTTTTTTGTTTGTTTTTGTTTTTTGATATACTTTAGCTGGCAGACTAAATCCTTAATTCTTCATTTTGAATCATATGTTCACTCTGAATGCTTCATGCTGTGTCATTAAAAAAAAAAAAAAAAAAAAAAAGCATTTTGTTTGTGTGGTATTTGTTATGGTAAGAATCCAATAATCTTCAACTCTTTTTTTTTTTTTTTTTTTTTTTTTTAAAGCAAATATAAAGAAAGGTGCAATAAAATGTATCCAGAATCCAGTGGATTTAGTGGCAGTTGGTTCTACAAGGCAGGCAGTGTATGATGTTGACAATACATCTGAGTACATGATAATAGGCACCAAAAGCAAGGCAGAAATGCAGAAAAAGAGGTATTGCAAGCCCTGATTGTGGATTACAAAACAGAGTAGGAGAGCGTGCCATCCTTTCCTTGCCTCTGAGTGTTGATATTTGACTCTGGGGATGGACAGAACTCCTGATAAGTGTTCTCTTTATTTTAAGTACATTCTTTTTAGACTTGTTTGATATATTGGGATGAAACGCAGAAAACTTTGGCCTTAAAATGGAAGGGTGGGAATTATTGTATTTTTTTCCACTTCTTATTGCTTTTCTTTTCATCTTTAAAGTATTTCGTGCTGCCTGATCAAGGAGAAACTTGCTGCATGACACATGATTACATCAAGTACGTACCCTTCCAATGCATCTTACACTCCATTTCTGTTCTTAGGGTGATTTTTGTGGACAACGGTGTTTTTGTTTTTGGTGTTGCATCCTGTAGCACCACACTGCTTTTCAACTGTGAAGCTCTGCCTTGTCTTTGGATACGAAACAAGCCTTTAACTGGCTTGCGGTGGGTGGTAGGTTCTTGATGATTTTAATTAAAATTATTAATTTCAGAAAGCAGCTGAAATAACCAGATTTAGGTTGTTATACCTGGGTATCTGTTTGTACATGGGCACTCCATTATAGTAGTTCTTATACTGGCTCTTCATCTTATACCAGGCTTACTGTAGCTGTTTGCTGAACAGTGAAATGCTGAAGTAAATGATTCTTCCACTGTTTAAATTGCTATTTCTTCCCAGTCAATAAAGAATTTGCTCAAAAGTGTGCACACGAATTTTTCTTTTTACCACTCAGTACATGAAGTGTTTTTATTCCTACTGACAAAGCAATTTCAGCATTTTAATGAATGGTAAATGCTATTGTTTGAGAGTGTTACTTTCCTGTTTTCAAGTTTGAACATCCTATACATCCTATGTATCTCTCTTCCTTTGCTGAGCTTAATTTGAATAACTGATAATTATTTTGGTAGTGCTACACAGAGTTTTCCTGTATTGCTATTATGGTGGGAAATCTTGTCTTAAACGACTTTAATGTTATGGGGTTATTATAGGGAAGGTGTGGAGCAAGTTATCTTTCACTTTGATAAATGTATGCTATAGTAATAAAATGTTGTGATAGGAATCTCACTGAGACTGATAAGCTGTAGAAAGGACCTTTATGATGATGAAATACATCATTTCTATTCCCAGCCTAATGTCAAGAATAGCTAATGAAGAAAACGTTATTGGAATGTGCTTTATATTGTGTTTCATGGAATGTTGGGATTCTTAGAATGTTACGGGTTGGATAGCCAGCTTAAGTTAGGCTGTGTATTACAGTAAGGAAACATACTCTCTTAGTTTTGCAATTGTAATAATGCTATCATGACAGAACTTTGCACAGTGTTGCTAATTCTGCTTTTCTGTTTGTATCTGCTCATAGTCTTTATCAATACTATTTCTTTCCCACCTATTATGCATTTTAAAAACACTTTAAAAAAAAAAAAAAAAAGTAGTTTTAACATTATTGTAGCTTAAATTTATTTTTCCGAAGTAGGTCAGATCAATTTCTAGACCATCATTTCAAAGTACATAAAGCAGGGCACTGGAAACATCCCCATAGAAGGTAAGGAGGAAGAAGAGGGGTAGGGTACTGGCAGAAGAATGTGCTTTTCAGTATCCTTTGTTTTGTTACAGTGAGAGATGGGGCAGTTGTAATCAAGAGACAGGCACTGTCAGCTGCTGCACACTGTAAGGTAGGATGGCTTGTACAAATGACCCTGTGCTACTTAGCATTGCTTTAACTTACCACTATCAAGAGTGTGCAGCAAAGTCTTGTCTCAGTCGTGCGCTGCTGGAAATGAGTTCCCTGCAGCACAGAATGCTGCTGTGGAGACAGTGCTGGCAGCACTTGCAGGGAAACTGCCTCAGAACAGCAACCCAGGAACCCCAGCTGTCAGGCAGTCAGGACCCACCACAGCTCTATTGCGAATGCTGTACCAGGTACAAAGTGTTTTTCATCTTAAAGCAACAAACTTGTCACAACGCATTAGTTCTAAAATGTTTACCATAATGATTTTGTCAACTATTTTTGTTAGTTTATTTTTAGGAAATGAAAGTTTCATGAAAAACTTTGATTTTTGGTCTCCAGTTCTAGCAGATAAAAATCCATTGGAAACACACAGAATAGATTTCTCCTTTCAAATGAAACATGGGAAAACAGGTTTTAACACAATTTCCTTAGCACCTCACTGAAGAGACGGGCAATTCAGGCTGGAGTAATAAACAAATAAGGAAAAATCTAATCAGCTGAAAGCAGACTGCTTTGCATCTCTCAGTGTCGGCATAAATGATGCATGCTATTTTGTTTCTCAGTGAAAGTTGGGCTTAGGAGGTGAACAACTCCAGTTTCAAGTAGGGATCTGTGAAGAGTTCATGTTCTTGCTAAGCAGAGCAGCAAGACAGCCTTGGGACCTGTGCACAGGTATGATAGCTTTAAAAGAGATACAAGTAATGACATGGCACAACATTCAGTGGGGTGTTTACCTGGAAGGTGTGTCACTACATAGTTGGAAAAAAAAGTTTGTGACACGAAATGTACAGAGAAATAAAATAGGAGTGTGAAGTGCCCCAAAAGCTGTTTTGAAAAGTGCTCTCTAACTTTTTACCAAATCTGTTAGTATTTCTGTAGTTTAGCCTAATATGTGTTATTCTCTGTTCTAAATTTTATTCTGAAGTACTTCAGCCAGTACTACAGGTTAAAAACAAACAAACAACAAAAGCTTTGCTGAAACTAGGGCTCTCATTAGATACATTTTCTCTGTAACGTGCATTATTTTAAACCTTTTACAAAACTGTTAAAACTCCATTTCAGTTGTAGGCAAATAGTTGTTATAACTTTCCTTGTTTGTGTTTCTTAGATGCTGCTCCTTTACCAGTATTTGTATTGTCTCTGAACTCTACAGTTATTTTCCAAAATTACAGTTATTATTATATATTTACCAGTTAGGATAAACAAAATTCAGGATGAATTTAATGCTGATTGATGTGCTTCAGTGCTGGTTCTGTGGGCAGAACGCTGTTTCATGTCTCCATCTGTACAGTGAGTAACAAGGTGTCATAACTTAAAAATTCATGGTGAACAGTCTCTTGCTTTATTAATATCAGTCATGTATTACATCTGTTCTGCTAATGCAGCCAGTAAAGTACATCTCTCCTGTGATACAGTGAGTTATTTTTGTTCATATGGAGATCTATGATTATGTAAACAACTCATACAGTTTTTTCCTGAAATTTCTGCATAGCCCTTCCTGCAGCTGGTTACCACAGCGACAGGCAAAGGAGGCTGATTTAAATTTGTTAGCTCACAATGGGAAAAGCTTTGTATTTCATTGTGTTTTGTTTCAGAGAGGAAACATGCTCGTGTAACATCTCCACACAAACAATTTAACTCTCATATAAATCAGTCCTCTGGGAGATGCAGCATGTTCCACTCGTGTAAAGCGCTTATCTCAGTGCTCTACTATACTGCTTCCCCATTCCTCTAAGTTACATCAGTCATTTTTGTGTGCAAGGCTGTAAGATTATGTCATAAGCACAAATATTTTTTTGTCCTCCTTCCCTCTTGTAACACAAAACTTAAAATTATTTTTAGAAGTGTGCTCTAGATCAAGGTGGAAACAACAGGAAATGTGAGTGAAACATAAAAAGTACAATGTCCTGTCAAGCTAGACGATTTTGTATATGAAAATACAATTGAATCTTTCAAGTTACTGCATGGATGTGACAGCCATACCAGCATAGTGCTCAGAGAAAATGTCTCAAACTGAAGTAGTACTTCTACTGAAAAGAATATTAGTGAAGTGTCTGCGTAGGACAAGTTCTAATGGAAGAAAGGTCTTCAAGTGAGAGATAACTACATCCCTTGCAGATTTGCACTGAATCTTAGTCCTGGAAAACAGTTTCTAACAACTGCTAGTTCTCAGCATGAGAAAGGTCTTTGCAAAGCTGCTGGGGAGCATCCACCAATGATCCCATTACACTGGTAATTATGGACAAGAAAATCGGATGAGCCTAGTTGCCTGAAAACTGCCTACGAATTAAAGAGAAGAGCACGATGAACACAGATATTTGCTTTCTTCTGTGCAGGTTAACTTTAAATAAGTACCTAGTTGAATCATCACTGAGATTCAGAAGACTGGCAGTTGAACGATGCTTCCTGACTGACCTTGCTCAGACATAGAAAGAAGTGTAATTTTCTTCCTCTGTACAAAACGTAGTGTTTGCCATAATCTTGTGATTATGACAATTTATCTATTCTGTCCTAAAGCCAATTCACTGGAGTTAGATTAATGAGGTCTATAATATTTCTCAATGAGATATGAATAGTGAAAGCTGTTGTCTTGTACTCCATGCTTCCAGGTGAGGAACTCCTAACCAGCATCTCAGCCATTTTGTT